TAGAACTCTTAGTATCCCTCCAGCACCATGTCTGCCTGCCTGCCACCATGCTTCCTGCCATCATGACAATGGACTCAACTCTGAACTGTGAGCCAGCCCCAGTTAAATCTTTTCCTTTGTAAGAGTTGCTGTGGTCATGGTGTTTCTTCACAGTGATAGAAACCCTAACTACGACACCGACTAACACTCTGGAAGGCTTAACGGTGTCCCCAGGAAGATGCTGGCGAGCCTCAGGGAGGAGGCTCCACCACTGTGCTCAGGCACAATTCTCAGCTCCGAGGTCTTCACTTCAGTTTTGATATGGAAAAGGTGGGGAGGAGGAGCTCTGCGGGGTTTCTTGGGGACTTTAACAGCCAGGCAGAAGTTTGAGAAAATAGCTTGCGAAGGTCAGGAAAGGTAAGTTTTGAAGAAGGAAAGTGATGTTTATAAACAACTTTGAATCGCCAGGTGTTGGTGGCGCACGCCTTTAATCCCAGCACTTGGGAGATAGAGGCAGGAGGATCTCTGTGAATTCAGGGCCAGCCTGGTCTTCAGAGTGAGTTCCAGGTCAGCCTCCAAAACAATATAGAGAAACCCTGTCTCGGAAAAAAAAGCAAAAGAAAAAAAAAAACTTTGAGGAGTGAGTGAGTTTTCTCCCAACAAATTATAGAACAACATTTTTTGGGGTTATTAATGAATCTTCCTTCCTTCCTTCCTTCCTTCCTTCCTTCCTTCCTTCCTTCCTTCCTTCCTTCCTTCCTTCCTTCCTCTCTCCCTCCCTCCCTTTCTCCCCCCCTCCTTTTCTCTCTCGGTTTCTTTGTGTAGCCTATAGGTGTCCTGGAACTAGCTCTGTAGACTAGTCTCAGTCTGCCTCTGCCTCCTGAGTGCTAGGATTAAAGACATGCACCACCAGCCACCAGGTCAGTGTTTTCTTGATGACCACTATTCTAAATGGAGTGATGTATTTCAAAGCAGTTTGAATTTGCATTTCCCTGATGCCTAAAGTTGTTGAACCATTTAACAAAAAAAGTATTTATTGACCATTTGTATTTCTCTTGAGAACTGTGTTTCATAGCCTATTTATGGATTGGATGATTTTTGTCTTGATGTTTCTTTATTTGAAATCTTTATATAGTCTAGATATGAATACCCTTATATGTGATTGGTGATTGTTGTTGGTTTTTGAGACAGTGTTTCACTAGGTAGTCCTGACCTGGAGCTAGTTCCTGGCCTAGAACTCACCAGGCTGTCCTTGAACTCAAAAGATCTAGTGTCTGCTTATCAAGTGCTGGGGCTAAAGACAAAGACATGTGTCACCACATTGGCCTAGCAGCGTGTCTCCCCTCCTTTCTGCAGGCTGTATCTTTATTCTAACATTAGGGTTATTGGGGCTTTTTGTTTTTTGTTTTTTGCTTTGTTACAAGGAAGATTTAGCCATAAGTTCAGAAATTAAAGCTTTGAAGGTGAAAATGGTGAATTGTATTGGCTAAAGGGCATTTGCTTTTTTAAATTTAGTTTTGAGAATTCCGCAATGCACGTGATGTGTTTTGACCAAATTCACCACCCAATCTGCCCACCACTTCCCTTCCCAACTTCATGTGCTCAGTTAAGCCCACTGAATGCACTTAGTGCTGCCTGGATGGACATGGGTGTGGGATCATCTACTGGGGGGGCATGTGTACCCTCTCTAGGATCACATCCCTGATGACAACTCTCTTTGCCGACAGCTCCTCTCCTAGGACTGGGACATCATGAACCCTTCCATTCTGGAATTTTGGCTGACTTGATCTTGTGCAAGTCTTGAGCTGTGGTCACAGCTGTGAGTCTATGTGTGCTACAGCCTTGTCATGCCAGGCGACTACGTTTTGCTGCAGATGTCCACCTCTGCTCTACAACTTTCCCACTGCCTCTCTCAACAGCGACCTCTGAACCTTGTGGGCAGGGCCTGGGGTATAGGTGTCGCATTTAGAGTTGGTCACTCCATAGGCCCTTATTCTGTGCACGCTGACCAGTTGTGGGTCTCTGTATTAACCGCCAACCCCTGCAAAAAGAAGCATCTCTGATGAGGGTTGAACCATGGGTGCTAAGTGAGAACTTAGGATGCGGTTTATTACTGGGTCCATTTAGCAAAATAAGATTAGTAGGTTCTTAACTATATTTAGGCAGCCATGGGTTTTTGGTCCAGTTAACAGTGCCAAGTCATGTGGAATGAGCCTGAAGTTCAATCAGAAACTGACTGGTTATTCTCATAACTCCATCCCTCTGTTTCACTGGTGGCCACATCTTGCCAGGACATTTGTAGCTTTCAAGGTTCATGGCTGTGTACTTTTCTTTCTGAGTACGGAGACTGACTTCTAGGATTTTTCTGTGTTGTTTGTGTATATGGATCTAGGGGATAACAAAGAAGACTGGCAATGGCCTGTGATGTTTGAGGGGTTCTATACCACTCAGAAAAACTACCCCATACCAGATAGAGGGCTTTTTTAATAGCTTGTGGTATGTAGGAGAGGCATTGTCCCTTTGTTATAGAGCAGCTCTGTTTGAACTCTGTACTATCCATAGAAACGAGAGACCTGCCTCACAAACAAGGAAGGAGAGAGCCAACTCCCCAAAGTTGTCCTCTGACTCCCCCACACTTATCTCACACACACACACACACAGACTGCATTTAAAAATCATCATCACTGTTCTGCAACGGAAAAATCCTGTAGCAATTTCATCTTCTATGTTTGAAAAGCAAGAGAATATCTTTTCACCCCAACCTCAAATCTGGTCTCACTGGGTACCCCATAGTGGCTTTACCTTAATCTGCCTCTGTCTCCCTGTCTGTCTTCTTGTGTTGGGATTACAAGTATGCAAGGAGGTTGGTGTGTGTGTGTGTGTGTGTGTGTTGCCTGCGTGTGTGTCTGTACCATGTGTCTACAGTTCTTGATTGACCAAGTTTGTGAACAACTAGAAGGAACTTAGGGAACTCATTGAAGTCAGTCTTGCTTCTGTGGAGACAGGAACTGGATCAGAAGATCCCAGGCAGAATCTACTATCCATACCTCCTCCCTGCTCCCCCAGTCAGCCCCCAGTGTCACCAAGCTGACAGGTAATAAAGTAGACTGCTTCAAGGAATTCGGGCACAGGAAGAGAACCTTGCTGCACACAGTCTTAACATGACTGTACAAACTTGCAGGATTTCCTTTTGTAATCTTGGTTCAGCAAACTCACAGTTGAAGTAAATTATCCATTATCCAGGTAATGGAGTGTGAAGGGGACACAGCAGTCCCTGAATCATCTGTTTACTTCAGTGGAGCCTCCCCGTGGTTATGGGGGAGGAGGTGCACCTGCCGTGCCCCCATGCTGTTCCAAGGCCATCTGAAAGCTTTAATGAGCCTGCCAGAGGAGGGTGTGTCTCTTTCCTTTATTTGACTTGAGAAATGACATCTTTTCCCGCCTTGGGAATTAAAAAAAAAAAAAAAAAAGTAAAGCCATCATTGTCACCTGAAGAGGAACGTGGTCAAGTGTAGTCAGATGTGGCCATTTGTTTTTAAGACTTTCATTGTTGGGTGTCACATGCCCACCCTGACCCCCGCTGACCTGTGACTCTCCTAGACCAGCACACAGGCAGCCTGGAGTTCTTTGTAGCTGTTTTGCTCCTGCGGGGCCTGAGCTCTAAGGCCCTCCTTCTGAGCAGTGGAGTGCTCTGCATCTCTGTCCTTAAGCCTCATTGTGTTTTATGAGCAGCAGACATCCCTGCTGTTCATTTTCATTTCTGACAATGCTGTAATTGATGCCCAGGCTCCTATCTGTAGCCCCTGGGCTCTGCCTAAGTGTCTTTAGTTGGCATATTTACCTGTGTTGAATGAAAAGACAAAGAGTGCATGATCTTACCTTGTTCCCAGCTGCAGCTGCCGCCTCCTTTTTTTTTTTTTTTTGGTTCTTGACACAGTTTCTCTGTGTAGCCCTGACTGTCCTGGAACTTGCTCTGTAGATATGAACTCAGAGATCTGCCTGCCTCTGCCTCCTGAGTGCTGGGATTAAAGGTGAGCACCGCCTCTGCCTGACTCTGTTCTTCATTGACAAACCTCTTTAAGGGACTTTTGGGGCCAGGGAACTTGAGCATCCCTCCCTCCCTCGACCTGAAACTTATGAGATTTACTTCCATCTACCTTGTGTGGGCTGGAGTTAAAGGTGTAGTACATGTCATTTTTAATATCTAAGTTTCATTTTTAAATAAGTTTAGGGAGCTGGAGTGATGGTTCAGCACTTAAGCATTGGTTGCTCTTTCAGAGAACCTGTATTAAATTCATAGCACCCACTTGGTGGCTAACATCCTTCTATGACTCTAATCTCAGGAGATCCAATTGATAACTTCTAGTCTCCACCGGTTATGATATTATTATGAAAGGATCTTTCAAATGTATTTTTAAGCCCAGAGAAATGCCTTTTAAATGTATTTTTAGAAGTGTATTTATTAATGTGTGTGTGTGTGTGTCCGTGTCCGTCCGTCCGTGTCCCCGTCCGTTCATCCATCCGTGTCCCCATGAGCTTGCATGCCCACACATGTGGGTGTAGTATAGTTTGTGTTTGATGTAATAGAAGGCAGATCTCAGAACTTTCTGGACGAACTCTTGGAATGGTATGTCCTAGATGGTTGAGATACCGTGTAACATAGTTCCATGTGTTGGAATCTCTCTGTGCCTTTCTTTGGAATGTGGTGATTAACAGCTTAATCTTTAAAGTTTAAGGTCCTGCTGATGCCGTATTGCAACATTCTGCTAAATCGTGTCCCTTGTGTGGTGACTCAGACTCAGTCTTGACTTCTTGGTCCCAGCTTCTCTCTCCATGCTCCTTAGTGGACACTGCCTTCACCAGCAGTTTGTGTGTATGTAGTTACTGAAGCTGTAACAGCCGACTCAGGTCACCTGTGAGCTCTCCTGCCTGTCACAGCTGGGCTTAGGGGGTAAGGAACACAGGCAGTGGGTGGCACCCTGTTACTGAGCCCCTCTAAAGTTAGGGACCTTGTGTTTCAGATTGCATCCAAGTATGACCAACAGGCCGAGGAGGACCTGCGCAACTGGATAGAGGAGGTGACAGGCATGGGCATTGGCACCAACTTCCAGCTGGGCTTGAAGGATGGCATCATCCTCTGCGAGTAAGTGGCCTTCCTGGGTTGTTCCCGCTCTCCTGCTCCTGTCCACGCGCCTTTGCTTTAATTCTAGTTCCAAATCTAGGATGCTGACCTTGATGGTCTACCAGTGTATACCTGCCTTCACTGACTCCAGGAGATCGCTTGACGTTCTAGTTTTGGTTTTGACCCATAAAGTGTCCTTGTGATTTTGTTTTTAGACTCATCAACAAGCTACAGCCAGGCTCTGTGAAGAAAGTCAACGAGTCTTCACTAAACTGGCCTCAGGTAATTGCCAAGTGAGCAACCTCCAATCCCTCTCTTTCCTCCCCTCCTCTCTCTGGTCCTTCCCTCCCTTCTCTCCCTTCTTCTCTCCCCTCCCTCTGTTCTCTCTGGTTCCCCTTCCCTCCTTTCCTTCTCTTGTTTGAGTCAAGGGTTTCACAAGACTGGCCTCATTCATTATATACTTCACAATGGACAGAACTCAGGATATGATGTATTCCTGCCTCTGCCTCCCTAGACCTAGAATTACAAGTAAGATGCACTATCTCAGCTGGTTTTCTTTTTATTTGGTGAAAAGGCCAATTGTTTTGTATTAATTGTGTGTGTGTGGAATCAGAAAGTTGCACACATGGCTATGTTTGGTTTTGCCATTAAAAATGTTGGCATGATTGCTTACTGTACTGGTCTCTTCTCGTGTTTTAGTTTTAGAAAATTTTCTGCATTTAGTCTGCTTTGAAGGATTTGATACAATTTTACGCAGATACCATCTGAACCATAAGAAGAAAGGGGGAGAACAAGGCTTTATGATGGAGCATGGCATCACAGCTTCATATCATTGGTGCAGCTGAAGTGGCATTGACTGTTTATTGGGTCTTAAGTACCTAACCAGCTTACTTTGAAACTAAAATTAAAACACAGTGAATTATTGATTATATGTGTGTAACTTTTGATAACTCCAGGCCTGGATAACTGTGGCACCGAATTCTTAAAAACGTGTAAGAATGATGGGCCTGGGGAGTAGTGATAAAGTGGTCACCACCTAAGCCCAAGGACTCTTTCAGATCCCCGTAAAAGCAGGGTGGACCGATAATCCCAGTTACATGGAGGCAGAGTCGGAATCGCCAGGGCAAGCTGGCTAGCTTAGTAGGTACACCCTGGTGTACGAAGACCCTCCTTGCTTCAGGCAGTAAAACGGGAAGTGATGGGAGAAAGTATCTAATGTAGGCCCCTAGCCTGCACATGTACATGTATGCACATACACCTAAACGCCCACAGAACACACACATGCATACAGCACATGGCTGATTTTGCCCTTAAAGAGCTTTGAAAAGCAGGGAGTGTGGAGGTGTAAATGTGCCCAGTTCGTAGAGTGCTTGTCTAGCATTTGGGAAGTCCTGTGTTTGGTCCCCAGCACAGCATAAATAGGGTGATCAGCAGTGCTCACCTCTAACTCCAACACCAGGTCTGGAGGGTGGAGAGCTAAGCAGGAGGATCAGAAAGTAAAGATCTTTGTTGGCTCTGTAACCAGTCCGTGGCCAGTTTGAATTTGCTGGTTTGTTTGTTTATTGTCTCAGAACAAGAACAACAACAAAAGTGTGTGGTTTTATTTTATTTTTGTGGTGGGAGGTTGGTGGATTTTGTTATTTTGGTGGGGTTTGTTTGTGTTTTTAGATCTACTTTAAAAGACTGTTTGTTCTGTGGGCCCCTTTCCAGAAAGAGCTTTGTGCTTACTTTGTATCTGATAGGGTATCCTAATCAAAAACCCTTCTTTCTGGAGTCTTGTTAACCACCCATCAAGACTGAAGAATCTTGGTGTATCCACAGTTTTGACTCCTCTTTCTGTTTATAGTTGGAGAATATCGGCAACTTTATTAAAGCTATTCAGGCTTATGGTATGAAGCCCCACGACATATTTGAAGCAAATGATCTTTTTGAGAATGGCAACATGACCCAGGTTCAGACTACGCTGGTGGCTCTAGCAGGCCTGGTATGTACCTGCTTTTCACTTGGTTGAAAATCTTCCTGCACATAGGTGGTGAATTACATCATTGTTCTCTCAGGGATGCCCAAACCCAGTGGGGCGGGGCCTGTGTCTTCTGTAATTGCTAGCTTCGTGAAAAGACCGCTGACATCAGCTTATGCCAGCGAGGTTAATTAGAACCCTCACATTTCAAAGGCTACAGAATTACCATTGAGTAGCCCTAAGTATGTTTTCTTCCTCTGGAATGATGTGATCTCACCCATGAAGCCCCGTCTGTGGACATCATTTCTTTGTTGTTCCCTCTTCAAATGCTGGTGGCAGAATATCTGTGTTCCAACTCAGTTGGTGAATGTGTTTGTGTCTAGGCGAAAACAAAAGGGTTCCACACAACCATTGACATTGGAGTTAAGTATGCAGAAAAACAAACAAGACGTTTCGATGAGGGCAAATTAAAGGCTGGCCAGAGTGTAATTGGTTTACAGGTAAGTGGTGTGATGCTATTTTTTCATTCATTAGCATAGTGTCATTAATTATTGCCACGTAAAACGTTATGCACCTCATGAGTAAAGTGTTTGTGAAAGTTCTATAATGTAGATTGCTTCGATATACACATGGCTTACACAGTTTCGATCTATTTAAAACCAATGGTGGGGCGTGGTGGTTTGCACCTGTAATCCCAGCACTTAGCAGTCTGAGACAGGAGGATTGCTCAGAATTTGAAGCCCTCCTGGGCTACATGCAAGTTCAAGACCAGCCTGACCTACAGAATGAGACCTTGTCTCAAAAAATGAAAATTAGCTAGGCAGTGGTGGCATGGGCCTTTTATCCCAGCACTCAAGAGGCAGAGGCAAACAAATCTGAGTTAGTGTCCACCTTGGTCTATAGAGCTAAGAAAGAAGGAAAGAAGGAAGGAAGGAAGATTAAATAAGAGCAATATAAGAAAATGATGGTAGTATCTCTCCCCCAACCCCCAAACACAGGGTTTCTCTGTGTAATAGTCCTGGCCATCCTGGAACTCACTTTTCAGACTGGTCTTGAACTCAAAGAGATCCACCTGCCTCTGCTTCCTGAGTCCTGGGATTAAAGTTGTACACCACCATGTCTGGCTAAAATGTTGGTATTTTTAAAAGAAATTTCAGGTGTGTCACTCAATTTGACCATTGTTTCTCTAGGAAATTAAGTCATTGTTGTTTCTAGTCATTCTGTCTTTTAAAAAAGAAAGGAAATGCACTATATAAATTCTTGGATGTTATTGACCAAGGGAAAATATACAAAGCCCATGGTACCAGAATGATCATACAGTGTGTGGTGTTGTGACTGGGCCTAGCTGATTGGGCAGGGTTAGTGCTCAGGAAGTAGTTGGTTAAGGTGATGCTCACAGTCTCCCTGGAGAGTGTCACAAAACCACAGCAAGTGGTGTGAATGCCGAGGACCTCCTTGGTGAACTGACCTTGAGTGAGTCTGTGTCAGGTGGCTTCCATTTTAAAAAGTACAACATTGTATGAATGGAGGGAAATTGGAAGGAAGAGTCCAAACCCTGATTGATCAGTGAGTTGGAATCTGCAGCCTAAAAATTAGCACCAGTGTTTGCAAAACTAAGGGAAAAATAAGGTTATAAAATACTAAAGGGATATGTGTATTTTTGTAAAATGTGGGTTTCTATGTGTATGTTAGGCATATATAGGGACACGTATGCACATAAAACCCAAAGGTATTCATAGATGTCTGTTACGAACTCTAGTTGTATTTATACAAATGTTAATATTGCAGTAATCTCCCCTTCTTTTTTTTTTCCTGCTTATATGTGTGTGTGTGAATCTTTTCTGTGTGGGGGCTTTGCTTTTAGTAATAAAAGTTTTCTAAGTGTCCCCTGAGTATGGTGACATGGACCTATAGCCCCAGTACTTGGGAACTGGGCAATCAGGAGTTTAAGGTTATCCTTGCCTACCTAGTGAGTGCAAGAGTAGTCTGGGTTTGTGTGAGACTCTCAAAAAAGCAAAGCCCCAAACTCGTTTCAGTAGCAGGAACTGGTTTCCTCCCCCAGAGCAGCAGACTGCACTGAGAAGTCCTGGGTCACGTAGTTCTCAGCTGGGCGGAGAAGTTAATTATTCCTCTGGTCCTGCCTCAGTTCGCCCCTCTCACTGCCTTGTTCTGGTTCTGGCCAGCACTGTAGGAATAAAATGTTATCTTTCCTCCATGAAAACGTTGATGACTTCCAAGTACCGGTCTTTGCTTTGCAGTTTTAACTGCAAGCACGCAGGCTGCGCATGCTGCAAAGGTAGCTGTGGACTTTAGCCAGCACAAAATTATAAACTTACGGGAACATTACAAGATGGTTTTGCGTTGCTTGTTTTCCTTTTTTAAAAAGTCTCCTCTCCTGTGACTTGATGATGTGGTTCTGGCGGGTGACTTGATGACGTGGTTCTGGCGGGTGAACTTTGTAGACGACAACAGAGAGGTTGGGAGTGCTGGAGCTGGAGTCAGAGGGCTTGTCTGTCACGGGGTCTGCAGCTGTATCAGGTTCCCCGACTGAAGCGGGCACACTTTACTCCCGTGCCTGTGCTACAGAGAGTCCAGAAAGAGCATCAGGGAATTTATCCAACACAGTAACTTCCTATTTAATATTATACCCTTTCTGTGAGTTTACACGCAGCTGGTTGTTTCATGAGGGTCTGTGTGTTTAGAGTGCTTGGAATTCTTTTAGCCTTCACAGCTTGCGTTCAGAGCACAGAGGGCCCTTCATACTTAGTTGCCTAGAGACACCTTAGCTCGGGAACTTGTAAGTCCCTGGCTGCCCTGCCCTCTTTTGGGGGGTGCTTGAGAATTGAGTCCACCCCAGGTCGACTTTACATTTCCTTGGTAACATAGAACATTTTATTGTGTCTGTGTTATTGACTTCCGGTTATTAATGCTGATTTTTTTTTTTAACTTAAAAGATGGGAACCAACAAGTGTGCCAGCCAGGCGGGGATGACCGCCTATGGGACCAGGAGGCATCTTTATGATCCCAAAATGCAGACTGACAAGCCTTTCGATCAGACCACGATTAGTCTGCAGATGGGCACCAACAAGGGAGCCAGCCAGGTAAGCAAGGGGCGCAGGGGCCTGCTAAGTGAGCGCTGACCCTAAGCAAAGCTAGTATTTTTCTGTAATATTTTTAGTCTTCAGGAAAGTAGGTTTTGCTGGGAGAGTAAAGGAATCAAAGGCCCTTTCTCCAGCCTGAAAAGTGTAGCGTGACTAATGGTTTTGGTTGGCAGTAAGAACAGTTGGCCTTTCTGCCTAGCCAGGAGAAAAAAAGTGATGTTTATATGTGTTCTTGCTCCAAAGTCCAAGTAAAAGATGGTTGGTCCTTCCTTACCCCTTTTTTTGGTTTTGCTTTTCAAGGGGCCCGTTTCAATGGGTCCATAAAATAAGCTGGCGTTTAGTCAGCATTCTTAGGAAATATTAAGTGAATGAAAAAAATGAAAGGAAAGGACATGACTGCTCCTAGATATGGTGAAGGAGAAAGTTTATTGTGATAAAAGGGAGCGCATAGCCAGAGGCTGGCACATCTGGGAGAGTCCAGAGTGGACATGACCACACTGAACTGGGCCTTGTGGGGAGAGGGGGTTGGGGAAAGGGGAACCAGATCCTGCAGCTAGGAGGCCAAAGATACAAAAGTGGGTAACCAGAATGTCTGGATTACATAAGGAATGACCTCTGGGGGTTAGGTATGCCAGACATACCCTGTAACAGATAGGGACTGAGGGACGCTGGGAGAATCTGAAGGTCAGGTCCGCTTTGATATGTTAAAATGGCACCTCAGGCATTTGTCCTGGTTTGAAACTTAACATGAAGTTACCAGAGAAATGAATTTGTATGAAATTATAGTTCAGTAATTCTGAAACTGTTAGTATTCTAACTCTTTCTGTTGCTGCCATAAAACACTCTGGCTAAAAGTAATGAGGAGGAAAGAGTTTATCTGATTTACGTTTCCATGTCACAGTCCATCCTCCAAGGAAACCAGTGCAGGAACCTGGAGTCAGGTGCTAAAGCAGAGACCAGCAGGGAACGTCACCTACAAACTCCCACGCTTGCTGGGCCTCCTTTCTTAGACAGCCGGGCCTCCCTGCCTGGGAGTCTCGTATTCATTAGCAATCAAGAAAATGCCCCATAGACACGCGCACACAGGCCAATCTGATAGAGGTCATTCCTTCATTTGTGTAAGAGTTTTTAATTGGATGAGGGTGTGGACAGGATGGCCCAGGGAGTAAAGACGCTTGTCTGGTGACCTGAGTTTGATCCCTGGAACCCCCTAGAAGTTGAGAGAACTGACTCTACAGAGTTGTCCTCTAGTCTTCTCATGTGCGCCCTGGCACACACTCTCTCTCTCTCTCTCTCTCTCTCTCTCTCTCTCTCTCTCTCTCTCTCTCTCTCTCTCTCTCTCTCTCTCTCTCTCTCTCACACACACACACACACACACATCAATAACATCAGTCAATAAACAAATAATAAAAGCAAGGAGGTACCAGTAACCATTTGAGAGCAGCAGGGGTTTATATCTAAAAAGTAGCGGGAATAGGTTTGGTAACCCTTTTTATTTTTATGGTGGACTCTGTCACTTTCCCTTTATGGGATATGCCCTGTGTCTCTCACAGCTGCCACTCATGTTTTGCATTTTCAGCCACACTGTATCTGAAAGTGTGTGCTTGGCATAAGTGAGAAACTGAGGTATAAGTTACTGTACGGTGAAAGAAGGAACCATTCTGAAGCGGGTGGCTTTACGTGATGGCCTCCTGGGAAGACCCCATCCCTTAGATTGGCTCGGGATGCTTCTTGCTGAATGCATGTATGCTTGTTTAAAATCGGTGGCGTGTGTGGCTATTAATAGACAGTCTCACTTCTGGGTGTGGTATGTGTACATGCCTGGACCCTTGGAGATCAGCAATGGGCACCGGATAGATGCTCTGAAACTGAGTTAGATAGTTGCGGACCAACATGTGGGTGCTGGGAACTCACCCTGGGTCCTCAGTAAGACAGACAAGTGCTCTTAACCACGGAGCAGTATCTCTAGTCCTGGGCTTTGTTTTTATATTCGTTGTGTCTAATTCTTTACTTAGTGGTAGATAGTATTGCTTCTGTATTCCATGTCGGAGGCCATATGGTGATTTTACAGTGGGCAGTGATGTGACAGGTGGCCCAGCTCAAGCCTCCGTGACTCCTGGCATAAAAACGGGTAGTTTAGGAATATTTTGGTAGGTTAGGTCCACATCAAACCGCTTGACGGTTACTGTGTCAGCGCTCACGTTTGTGTGGCTTCATAATTTAGACGGAATTAACAAGTATAGATCTTAGCTGTTGTCTTACCTTCTATACCGTTATGTTCTAATACCAGGCTGGGATGTTAGCACCGGGCACCAGAAGAGACATCTATGACCAGAAGCTGACCTTACAGCCAGTGGACAACTCGACCATTTCTCTACAGATGGGTACCAACAAAGTTGCCTCCCAGAAAGGAATGAGCGTGTACGGGCTTGGGCGGCAAGTGTATGACCCCAAGTACTGTGCCGCCCCCACAGAACCTGTCATTCACAACGGAAGCCAGGGCACAGGAACGAATGGGTCGGAAATCAGTGATAGTGATTATCAGGCAGAGTACCCCGATGAGTACCATGGCGAGTACCCAGATGACTACCCCCGAGAGTACCAATATGGCGACGACCAGGGCATTGATTATTAGTCACACACAGGAGCGCAGTATTTAGTCCATTGTTTTTATCCAGTGAGATCCAAGCTAGCCTTGAGTAATTCTCGTCTTCCTAAAACACTATTATGCTTATCGTACCTTTAAAAACCAGCCTTACATACATTCCTTTTTCCTTTTTCTGCCTCCTCCCTGAATAGTTGCCTTTTAGTGCTGTAACAGTTAAGCCCTACAGCATAACCAATAACTTGCGTATGAAGTAAAAAGGAATGCTGTGGAAGGACAGCCAATTCTTATATTGAAGATCTATGCATTTTTTTTACAGCCTTACACTTAAACTGGTATTTTCAAACAATAGGAAACTATTTTCTTTTTTACAGTTTAGTGTGTATCTGGCTTGTACATGGAAGACTAAAATGTTTGATTTGCTGAATGTGGTCTTTGCCAACTAAATCTAAGTAAGATGCAGCATTTAGAACCTGACACGTGGATGTTTTTCTGCAGTACTGCTTGCTGAGTTCTAAATAAAGTCATGATCAGTGTGCAATTGTGATTATATGTGTACTCATTCTCTTCCTTAAGCTGACAAGGTCTTTTCCGAGTGGCGCTTCTAAGGGCACGTATACAAAGGTGGCCGCGGACGTGCAGGTTTGGGGGTGTGCCTGCAGACGACATCTGTGCCAATGTATCACTGTAGAGTCGCTCTGTTTCCCTCAACTGTATTTATTGCTGCATTTCTCAGCATAAACTTATCCCATTGTATTTTTTATAAATAAATATTTTTTTTGAACATTCATATGAACCACAGGCTGGTTATTTTCTGGCTAGCTTCTGTGCAGGCAGAGTCAGGTCAGAAACTGGAGGCCTCATTCCTTGGACACTAAGAGAAGGTATTCCAGCATTGTTTAATTCGTACAATATGGCACTCATGGAGACTGGTCTAAACTGGGTGTGGTGACTTAACACACCTGTAACCCCCTCACTAGGGAGGCTGAAGCAGGAGGAGGATTTCTGCGAGTATGAGGTCAGCTTGAGCTACAGAGTCCGTGTTTCAGAGCTATAAAAACAAAACAACAACCAAAAGAAGAAAAATTGCCATTGCATACAGTCAAGAATTACGTGGTCCTTGTTTTATTATGACTTGGCTGCCCTGTCCTGGGTTCATCTTCAATTTGGGATACCCTTAAAAGCAATTCTCCCTACAAGGGACAATTATTGCGTATGCAGTCAGGGTGTGTGATGAGTGATGCCGGAAGCTGAAATGGGGTGTTCTGCTCAGTGGTGAACTGGGGGAAATCTGAGCCATCATTGTCACCTTGGAGAAGACCAAACAACAGCTAAGTGTGGGAAACAGCAGTGCCAGCACCGAGGGAGTTGGTCCCTCACTCCTGACCTTGCCTCAGCCAAGCGATTTCTTCTGATAGGGCTGACTGTTAGGCTTGGGTGGTTTTTGCCAAGACAGATAACGAGATGCTTGAACCCACAGAAATGACGTATACTTGCTCAACTTTCTGTGATGACTCATTCGATGCTTCTGGGAGTGTCCTGTAAGTCATCATAGGAGACTGCAGAGCTATGATTCTCTTAAATAATTTGCATTTAAAGTGGACGTGAGCTGTCAGGCTGTTTCTTGTCAAATGTGGAGGCGGCTGGGACAGGGAAGGGAAGGGAGCCTTGTATTACATCACATGGCTGGCCTGGAAAGTAAGTCAGGTTTTCTCTCAAGTTAGGATGGCAATGCCACACAGCATCTCATCTGATGAGGTGCCCGTCCTCGTGTTCAAAGTTCCTTTTGTTTAGGGCTTTGAAAAGGAAAAGCTGTTATACATGCCATCTATGTTTCAGCAGCTGTTCAGGTATATTTTTAAAAAGTAATAACTTCTTTAAAAAGGCAAGTCTCATTTGGGGTGGAGGTGAACACCAGCTCTCTGTAATGTTTGCTGATGTGTGAAGGTACCACCTGCCCACAACCAGCTGAGTCGCATCTTGCTTAGCTGCCTGTCCTGTGTGTGCCCGCTCCAGTCCAGTTCAGGCCTTTCTTGTGTCACTGAGTGTAGGAGCCATAGCATGAAATGCTAATATGCTTTCTTAGCCTGTGTCCAGGGTTGGAAGAATCAGAAAGTCCTGCCCTGTACAAGAGCAGTATTCTAGATATTTCTGCTAACAAAATCCTCCTTAAAAAAAGGTAAACTGGTTGTGACCTCACAAACACAGGGTGAATTTTTTACAAAGTATGTTATTTACTTACATTTTGAATGTGTGTGTGTGTGTGTGTGTGTGTGTGTGTGTGTGTACATGTGTTGCAGCACGTGTGGCGGTCTGAGGACAACTGTGAGAATTGGTTCTTTCCCTCCACTGTATGGGTCTGGGGGCATCAGTTCGAGTTCTCAAGCTTAGCTGCAGTTGCCTTTATTGAGTGAGCCAATCTTATTTTTTTTTATTTGTATTTATTTATGCTGAGATAAGGTCTCTACATAGCATTCAGGTTGGCTTTAAACTCCTGTGTAGCACAAGCTGGCTTTATACTGGTGGTCTTTCTACTTCAGCCTCTCCTAATTGTAATGGCAGATGTATGTCACCGTACCCAGACATATTGTGCCTTCTAAAGTGATGGGTATAAACATAGTGTTAACGTGATTTTTCTTGCTTGCTCCAGTTCATGTGAAAATAGCTGTAGACATTTCAGTATCGCAGTGTGGTCAAAGTGCTCTCAGGTTCTCCATACAAAAGGCCCTGGGCCCCTATCTCACAATGAGCTTCAGTTCTGTCCCATCTTCGTTTGGTAATGAATCCTTGTGTCCATGAGGCCTTGCATTGTTAAAGTCGCTGGTCCGTTTTATAAAACTCTGAAAAACAAGAGAGTGACTGATACTCATGGCCCTAGAGTTTTAGGAAATTGAATTTTAAAAGTTTTCCAAGTGTGTGTGTGCATAGTGGGGTAGATTTCAAAGTAGACTTTTAACCGGAAACTTACAAGTCGTGAAGAGTACAAGTTAGCTTTAATGCAACCACCAGAGTATATGAAGACAAAAATTGTATCGTTATGTCTCTGAATGGGACATTCAAATTCATACTCATCTATTCATGGAAGTGCTGAAATCCAGTGTCTGCTGGACCCACAGTGCCTTAAATGCTGTTTAAGACCAAAGGAACTTAACCCTTAATTTTTATGGCAACAAAATGAAGGAAAATTATTAAAATATCATTTGACCGCCAGCCACCAAGGCTCAGTTGTTGAAATATCTCCTGTCCAAAGAGGATAAGACAAATGATGAGCAATTCGTTGTGTTGCAAAAAGCTGTTGGAAACGACTGCCTGCTAGTTCCAGATACAAGCAGCATGGGCTTTGAGGAGGGTGTGCCCTGTTAGCAGAGGGGCCCAAGGACTGAGGATCTGTCAGTATTGGCACAAAAAGTTCCCAGTCTGCAGAGCAATGGGCTCTACAAAGCTTCATGGGCCCGGATGGTCCTTGGATATGCAGCATGCTTTCCATGAACAGTTCTTCAGACTTGCAAGCAAGGCAAGGGCTGAAGATTAACCACCTACTACTGTGTCCACCAGAGTCCCATGGAAAAGCCCACATGCCCCATTTTATTCTCGCTTCTCTTTGGAGAGGCGTGGTCTCTGTAAGGAAGTGGTTCACCCTCACAATGCTGAGGTCCCATCTCCCTATGGAATTTTGGACCAGGTGGAAGTAGAAACCTATGGAGCCCTCTGGACCAGAAATGAGACTGAGTGTGTTACCTCCCCCCCGTGTGTGTGAGTATTCGGCGCTTTGGGAGGTCGTGAAGAGACGAAAGGTTTGCTTACCAAAAACTCTGGGTGCATAAAGTACGGTTTCTCCGATGATCCATCATTTGTTTCCAGATCCACAGCGAAGCACAGGAAAAGTATGTCCAGCACAGTTTCAAACACAGACAAGAAACTGTGAGCCACTAGGTAGGCAAAAAAGGCCACTAGCAGCAGAGGGATGGCCCACACTTGGAGCGCACGATTGTAGTTAAATGCCATCAACCCTCCAAACACAGTGAAGCATACCACCAGTACCTGTGGGAGGCGAGGGAGGGGGATCGTTGAAAACCTTTATAAGTATGGTGGGGCTCATTGAAAACCTTTATGAATGGTTTATCAGTGGGATATCTTACCTAAGGTTTTATTCCCCCCCCAACTACAAGTAATACTAGTGTGTGTGTCCTAAGGAGAATTTGGCAGGATGAAATAAAGACACAAAGCCCAGGGTGAGAAGATAGACGTGAACTTTCATCTGTGTTCGCTGTTGCCTTCCTGTAAATGTAATGCACAAAACTTACTCTGCTTTCTCACCGCAGTATGGTGAAATCATCAGCATCCACACTTTAGGATGTGTGTGGGGTGTGTGTAGTCACGAAGACGTGTGCATGTGTGTGGAGGCCAGAGGCCCGTGTCAGATGCCTTCCTCTGTTGCTATCCACCTTATTGTTTTTGAGGCAGGATCTCTCTGAGCCTGGAGCTCATCCATTTGGCTTCAGAGATTTCTCCCACCCCACCTCCCAGCCCTGGAGTTAGACAAGGAGCATCACGTCCATCTTTTCTGGGTGGTGGCCTCATGCTTATACAGGCACTTCAACTGAACCAACAGGCTCCCGGCCCTTTGAAGCTTTTCTTTCTTTTTGTTTTGAGACAGTTTTTTCCTTCCTTCCTTCCTTCCTTCCTTCCTTCCTTCCTTCCTTCCTTCCTTCCTTCCTTCCTCTTACTTTTTTGAGAGGGAGTTTCTCTGTAGCTTTGGAGCCTGTCCTGGAACTTGCTCTGTAGTTCAGGATGGCCTTGAACTCACAGAGATACACCTCTTTCTGTATCCTGAGTGCCACCACCTTCAGGCTTTAATCCCATTTTTATACTGCAAGCAATTGAGTAGATGAATTACTAATTTCCTAAGTGATTGGTTTTACCCTCCAGGCACTGAAAGTGGAAAGGTGGTAGTGTGCAAGATAATTGGATTCTCCCAGGCTTTTGTGACATGTAATTATGTTTCCAGGAACACACAGGCCATGGTATACTCAGTTTCTTAAAATATGCGACTGAGTCCACCTGGGGCCCCATTACCCCTACGTGCCTGCAAAGATGAATATAGAATTCAGAATGCTATTTCCTTCAGAGGCCTAAAGTCACTAATTATCCCATACTTTTTGAAAGCTCGTTAGGCATGGTATGCTTCCTATAGGAAATCTTAAAATGAATATATTTAAAATGAAAAAAATAGAAGTATGTTAAGGATTATGAAACAACCCAAAAAATTTTTGGAATTAGAAAATGTATCACTCACGATCTGATTAAGGTGATAGTATTACCAAATTGCATGCAACTCTACCTTATTTGGCTGTTTTGAAAGACAGAATTATGTTGTGCTTCTGTTAACAATTGTCACATGAAACGTCTCTGGGGCCCAGGTGAGCCCTAAATGCATGTGTGGTTAGCACACACCTGTGAGATCCAAGCAGGCCTTAACATGCTGGAAGCTAACTGACAGTCATGCACCAAATGTTACACCAGAAGCATAGCATCCTAGAT